ACAGCATAGATATGGTAGTTCTTAATGGTTTGTTGAATGTTTAACAAACCTTTGGTTATTTGATCATGACTGCAAGGATTTGGTATATAGTTGTAACGTAGTCCCTCTGAGTTAAGATGGCCAATGTTAAGCAATTGGTAAGGTACAATATGTTTTTTAGCTGTGTTCAATTGCGATTCAAGGTTTATTACTCTTGAAAGTAGATGTGATTGCTGTAAGTGGATGTTGTTGAGTTTATTAGCATATCTGTATTTTCGTCCCTGGTAGTCAACTCTCTTCTTGATTGGTGAAGCTGCTGCTGCAGAATAGCTGGTGTAAGTTCTTTTAGCAGATTCATGGTCAGACCTGTAAGTTGGTTTGTTATTTGTTGCTACTGGACGAGCTTCTAGCTAGAAGTGGTTCAGGATAAATGCTTTTATATTATTAATTAGGAGAGTAGTACCTTCACCTCTATTCAAATGCACCCCATCGCTGCTAAGGTGCAATCCTTCAATATTTGCCATACTAATATGATATCTGGTATCGGTATCACACATTGAAAGGATGGCAATATTGAATGACTTCATTGAATGTATTTGTTGTTTGTCCCAGACCAATCTTCTTGTCACATCACACAGGAACAAGGTTGTGTTTGGTAATTTCTCATGAGTAATCAGAACTAGATCTTCATAACACTTGATTGTATCATCTACAGGCCCTCCATTATCTATGTTGTTACCTCCAATATTGAGAGTTAAACTTTTCATAGAGGATGGAAATTCATTCTCCAGGATGGCTTTTTTCATTGTATCTATTGTAGCACCTCTATATGACAGTACCATTTGGTTCTTCGCTGATCTGGCATTGTTGATATTGGATGTCTGTGAATCGCTCATAATCAAGTGTTCTACACCATTAGGAATTTTGCGTTTATAATTACGTTATACCACTGGATGATCTGGCACCTGTAAAGCTGGTTGTGTTGAGCTGTATTGGTGATTAACTAGTGGTGACGAACTGGGTGTCACACCATTGTTTTTTCTTCCCTTTGGAGTTACAGTGATCCACTCATGATTATCCTCTGTGGGTCCAATTGTTTGCACATCTTGGTCGATACTCTTGGATGCTATTAAGTTCTACTGAATTTTCCTGATATCAGACGTCACAACTTCTTCTACATAGTCACACAGTTTGTTTATGCTTTCATCAGTTATATTACATGACCTATGCTGATCAATTTCTTTTCTCAAGATAATGCCTTCTTTTGATTTCTTAGATAGTTCCTCTTGCAACTTTGCTACTTGGATAGTGTGAGTATTGTTTTCTACAATGAGGTTATTTATTTTCATTTGTAGCTGTTCTTTGAGTGACTTTTCCTTCAGTTGGTATTTCAGATCAGCGATTTCTTGCTTTTGTTTCTT